GATTGCCACAGCCATACTGTCTCCCTAGACTCAACAGCTTGGCAGTGTCTTGGGCTCGGTATGGTGCTCTGGCCATTGAGCCAGTCATCTCCTGGAAGAGGCAGCTTGTGGCATTCCTAGAAGTCCCCTGTTGGGCTTAGGGAAATTTTTACATGCAGTAAACTGACACCAAAAAGGACTCACACAAGCTTTTTGGTTCACTATCCTAGTATAGGTAGAGCACAAGAGAATCACCTTGTGAGCTCGTTGACACTGCAGATGATGGGGAACCCTCCCCCCGACCCCTGCCGGGGATTCTGACTCAGTAGCCTTGGGCCTGGCCTGAGAAGGGGCATGTGCATGAGTTCCCAGGGTGCCTCTGCTGCAGATGGTATAGATGGGGCAGGTAACTCTGGAACCAGTAGTATAGACAGGAAGCACACAGGATTCTAGGGGGTGGGAGGGAGACTGGATTTATGTAGGAATCACCTCGATGCACGCCTCTCTCAGCAGTGGAGTCTGGCAAGCTGATGTGCCTGTGTCCAAAAACGACACTCTCTGTGCCGCTGGAACTTTGCTCCTGCTTCAGCTGTTCCCTTTCCTTTGAGTCTCAGTGACTCCAGGTTACTTCCCTGACTCCTCTTCAGAAGGTCAAATAAACCAATGCTGGAAATACTTGAGCACACTAAGACATTCCTTAGGCTTGGTTTTTGCCTCTTAGAGATAAAATTGCTTCCTCCCAGGACTGCTTATTTGTGCCATCTTGCCACCTTTCCTAGGGTCCCTGCTGCAGCACGCACCTCTGAGGTCATCCATTTCTACAGGAAATTGGGTCACGTGGCCATCTGGAGACGCGTGGGAAGCATCAGTTGACGTTGAGGAGCTGGCTATAGAGTGTGTGCAATTTGTCCTGCTCTTTCCAGCCATGCTGCAAGCAAGGGCTGGCATCAGTGTTAGGAACACTCCCCAGGCTGCCAAGGTGGCCGCTTTCCTTGCCTTTAAAAGCTTCCTTTGGTGCAGGCTGCCAGCATTTCCAGGTCTCTGCCTTTCCTGCCCCATTCCGTGCCACTGCTCTTCTTGGCTGGATTCCCCCAATGCCTGATGTGAGCTGAGTCATTAGCAGAGGAGCAGAAGGGAATGTCCTGAACGAGTCTGGAATGGGGGTTTGGCAAGGAGGTCAAGTCTGGAACCACAGACAACGCGCGAATCCACCTGCTCTCCCTACCTCCATGCAAAGGTCACAGGTGTCTCTGACTGTGTTAAGGCTGGACTGTTGATGCTGCAGGTTTGCCTGACAGGTCTTTCGGGAATGAATGATTGGAACCTGAGAACCATGATGGCTTTTCAGGTTGATCGCAGGACAAATCACATAGCGGGTGCTGAGCTTTATTTGCATATTTCGAGAAGTTGCCATCAGGAAAACTTGAGTTCTGGAGTACTGATTTACATCATGAGGACAGCAAAGCTGCAAGTGCCCCACACTGATGCACAATCCACAGGTGCAACCCTCTCCTAGGAAGGCCTCCGTATACATAAATCTGCCCCCTCCAGGAGTTGCACTGTGGCTTAGTTGTTGGCCATGTACCCATTAGCCGTGCCTTGATTGCCATGGCAGAAAAGGGGCATTTCGGTGTGCACGCATGCTTCTGTATTAGCCCGAACTTTTTGGCATAAGAGTTGTATTTATTGCTTTGTATCCCCAGGACTCAACCAGGAGATCCTTGTTTGCTGACTGCCTGGTTTTTATTATTCATCATTCAAAAGGAGACTTTGGGATTTGTCTTAGAGTCTCAGAACCACATAGCTGAATTGTAATCATGGAATGTCAGCTACTCCACACCTCCTGAAAACAATTCCTGGCTTGCTGGCTATCCTGCCTGCTGCTGGGGCTCCCTGGCCCTTAGAGGACACCTGAAGGAGACTTAACAGAGAGAGAGAAAACAAGCAGAAAGGTAGAGCTGAGACAGCAGGTGCAAGGCAGGGAAAAAGGAAAGGGGCATGGAGGCAGTGATTTTTTCATAGAATTTTTTTGAACTGGAAGACCTGTAGACATTTTCCATCCTGGCATCTTCCTTTCCATCAGGCGAGTCGCAGGAGGTTGGCTGGAGGCAGTGCCACACCTGTGGATTGTCTATCAGTTTGGGGCACTTGCAGCAGAAACGTCCAGGCTTGTGTGCACACTTGTATATTAACATGCTCTGGTTTTTAGAATCCCGTTACTGAGTGACTCCTAGAAGTCAGAGTTTTAGTTTTCCTATGTGGTTTGTACCCACAGCCATTAACACAGCTGCAGATTTCCTGCTGGATGCACGGTCACCAGGAAACACACACTGACCCTGTCCTCCATGGAGCCTTTATGTCCTGAGTGTACAAAGAGCCACCTGGAGGGGGAAGGGCCAGAGCTGCTCTTGTTTTGACTTACTAATGGGGGGGGGGTGTCTTTAAACAGTTCATGGAAAATGTGTATTATGGATTTCAACTCTTTTTGCACCAAAAGTATCTCTTTTTTTTTTTAAGAAAAAAATTTATGTGACAGAAAGGAAGGAAGTGCTCCCGTCCACCTCACTCCTCAAATGCCCACAATGGCCAGGGCAGTCCAGTGCCTGAGCCAGGAGCTGAGAGCACAATTCAAGTCTCCCATTTGCATGACAGGAACCCAATGACTTGAGCCATCATCACCACCTCCAGGGTCTACATTAGCAGCAGGAAGCTAGAGTCAGGAGCTGGAGCCAGCTATCAAACCATGCACTCTGTCATAGGGTGTGGGTGTCTCAACTGTTAGGCCAAATGCTGGAACCTATCTTCATTCCCTGTTCCCCAAATTTATTGAAGTATGTTAATACACAGGAAAGCCACCCTGGGCCAAATATAAGTATGTCAACTGATGGAGTTTGGTTGTTTGGTTTTTGTTCCATTGCTTGGTCTGTAATTTATTTTTGTCTGGACAGGGAACCTTCAGCCACCATCAGGTTTTGCTTTTTGCTTTTTGCTTTCCTGGAAGCCCAATGCTGTGGCCAGCAAAACAAAGCCGCTGTGTAGCCTTTTGAGGTTGCTTCCCCCAGCTCTGGCAAACACCCCTGTCCCTGAGTCTACCCTGCTTCTCTTCCTGCCCCTCTGCTCTGTGGACAGAGAACACCATTTTCCCGCTCAGATCAGCCTTGGAAAGCCCGTGTTGGTGGCAAGGAGGCTGTTCTTGACTTACCTGTTCCTGTCTCTCAGACCTCAGCCAAATGAAAGCCCTGGCTAGGCTGCTCTTTCACCTCTTCCCCAGCAAAACTTTTGGGTTCTTGACCATCGACTTTATGCAAAGACATCAGTCATTTAGCCTATTGGTTAGGATGCCAGCGTCCCACATTGAAGTGCCTGAGTTTCATTCCTGGCTCTAACTTCCTGCTAATGTAGACCTTGGAAGCAGCAGATGATGGCTCAAGTATTTGGGTCCCTGCTGCCCATGTTGGGGACCTGGATTAAGTTTCCTGCTCCCAGATTCAGCCCCACCACAGCCCCAGGCAGTTACACCCATTTGAGGAATAAACCAACAGGAGAGCTAGCTTGCATGTGCGTGCTCGCTCTCTCCGCTCTCTCTCACTCTCTCGCAAATGAAAACATTTTTAAAGAATTTTATAGTGAATTTCCACTCCATGTACGTAAGTATACAGATTCTGAACATTTTTTCAGTTCAGAAAATGCAGTGGTTATAGCTAGAGAGATATATAGCTGGGAAAGGAGGGAGGGAGAGAGAGGGAGGAAATGTATGTATATAATATACTAGTGTAATGGCAGGTGATGCACAGTGGCTGATAGAATTGTCTTCTTGAGTGATTCAGACCTGTATATCGTATCATAAAGACCATGGTTGCTCCATGAGCTTTATTTAAAGGTTCGGGATATCAAGAGTAAAATCGTAGCTGTCCTCTCTCTCCCTCCTTTTCTCAACAGAACATTCTCAGTCGTCCAAGCCCCACCAGCAGACAGGTGTCTCAGTTTTGGTGTGACATTTCATGAATATTTTATCCTTTCCCTCACCCACTCAATGCAGTAGCTGTGACCTGCTGGGGCTTCAGTGTGCACGAGACAGGCAGGGTCTTTTCTCGTGCAGGCTGGGAGGCAGCAAGCAAAAGCAAATAAGTGAATCTGTGTGGGGAGAAGCTGCACAAGAAAACCAGAAAGCTTAGCCGGCACCGCGGCTCACTAGGCTAATCCTCCACCTAGCGGCGCCGGCACACCGAGTTCTAGTCCCGGTTGGGGCACCGGATTCTGTCCCGGTTGCCCCTCTTCCAGGCCAGCTCTCTGCTGTGGCCAGGGAGTGCAGTGGAGGATGGCCCAGGTGCTTGGGCCCTGCACCCCATGGGAGACCAGGAAAAGCACCTGGCTCCTGGCTCCTGCCATCGGATCAGCGTGGTGCACCGGCTGGCCGCTGCGCGCCGGCTGCGGCAGCCATTGGAAGGTGAACCAACGGCAAAGGAAGACCTTTCTCTCTGTCTCTCTCTCTCACTGTCCACTCTGCCTGTCAAAGATAAAACATTTTACCCAGAAAACCAGAAAGCTCAAGGAGCAGAAGAGCTCAGAGGTGGGGCCCTTGATATTTGGAGGCCCAGGAAGTACTCTCCAAGAGTGAACACTGGGGCAGAGACTTGACAGGTGGAAGGAACCAGCCTTGCTCCAAACCTGTTTGCCTGCCAAGGAAGTGCCTGGGGCTCTGGCTGCCTCTGGGGCCACCTATTTAGCCTGGGTTTAATTCCACCTGTGTCTTCCCCTCAGTGTGGGTGTAAGAGGCCGAGGTCAAGCAGCAGCTCTAAGTGGAGTAACTCAATCTTGGGCATGGGCTGGCCTTTAGTAAGCAGCCAGTTAGCACTTTGAAAACTGAAACCTGTGGTCAGGTCTCCAACAGCAGAGGGTCAGGTTTCAGTTTTAATTAGGGAACCAAAGAGATGCCCCTGCAGAGATCCCATTTCACTCAAATTCAGCTTCCCCCAGAAGAAGGCTTCCTGTCTCCAACCTGGAGGCCCTGGGATGCTTACCTCACACTGAAGCCGCTGTCCTGAGTTGGCACTGACTTGGAACTGGACTTGCACGGGCTCACGGAAGGGTAGGATGGAGACAGAGGCCCCAGATGTGATGTGCAGGTGGGTGGTAAGAAGCCTGTGGGAGGAGGGGGCTGGGTTCAGGGGTTGTTAAGAGTTCACATCTTCGGGCTGCAGCTCAGATTGTGACATCAGAGAAGGATGGGGTGACATTCAAGGCCACAAGCTGGACAGGTCTTGCCCTTGTTCCCACACATTTGGCAAAGCCCATGTTAAACAGAGGACAGAGCAGTGCAATGGGGGTGTGAACAGTGCCAACGAGAGATCCCCTTTTGGCACTTGTCATGGAGTAAGCAGTTGTCATCACTCTCTTCTTAACTCTCTCACTACTTTATACAGGGGGTAGGTATAGGCTGAGTATCCTTATCCAAAATGCCTGGGATCATAAGTGTTTCAGATTCGGGATTCTTTTTTCGCAGGAGAATTGGGAGATATTTGCATATATATAACGAGATGTCTTGGGGATGGCCCTGAATCTATAGCTCCTTTATGAGTCCTATATACCGTATACATATGGCCTGAAGGTAATCCTATACATTCCTTCTAATGCACCTGCGTTTTGACTGTGACTTGTTACTTGAGGTCAGGTGTGGAATTTTCCACTTATGATGTCATGGTAGTGTTCACAAAGCCGTGGATTTCAGAGATTTTGGACTCCAGGTATTTAGACTGGTGATGCTTCTCCTACAGTACCATTCTCACCTAACAGAAACAGAAAGCGAGGCTGGGAGAGGCTAAGTAACTTGTCCAGTGTCATCTGGCTGGGAGGCTGTGGCTAGGAGTCATCCCAGATCCGCATGAAGATTTCTGTATTCATCTCAACTTGGCTTTACCGCCTCTTTGCATAGGCTCCCGAGCTCCCATCGTTAGATTCATAGAGGGGACCGGCTCTTCTACAGGCATTTTCTGGAATGATTTCTGAAGACATTGGCTGTGGATGACTTGAGAATTAGCTCAGGTGTTCTGGTGTTGTGGGTGAAGAAGTGGCATTGGATGGGGGTGAGACTAGAGGGGAAGGGGAAATACAGGTGGAGAATGAGTTCCAAGGCTGGATCTTTGCTTTATTTGACTGCAGTACATTTTACTGAGGGCCGTAAAGATATCCCAGTGTTCAGCAGAGCCTCAACATCTGCACCATTAGCAGACCCTGGGCGGAAGAAGGGAATTTGAAATCCTGGTGCTGAGCTTAGTCCTTCTGACTCTTCATCAGCACAGGTGAGCCAGGCTTGGGAGAACAAGCCCCACGGTCTGAGCCAGGCCCTCCTGCCAGGTAAGGTGACCAAGAAGCCTGGCAGAGACACAAGGCTGGTGCCAACTCCTTAGGGCAGGCACATTGCCAGCACAGACCTGAGCTGCCAGCTGCCAGTCAGTGAGATCCTGGGAAGAAATCCTAAGAAAGTTACCGCAGGGCAACGACCTTCCTGTCGTTCTGCTCCAGATCTATCAGAAACGACTCTTAGTGATCATCAGCATTCTCGTCTCCTCTCCCCATCGAGAAGGTGCCCTTTCCCATACCCCTAAAGTGGCTTCCAGCAGCAATGAAGTTACTGTTTGCAGCCACTGTGTAGTAGATGATAAATAATATTTATAACATATAAAGGTTTAAAGAATAAAAAAGTGACAATAAAACTGGTTTCTGTCTCCCAACACCTAGTTAAAAAACAAAAAAAGAATGTTACCCTGCCTCAAAGTCCCCTATGTAGAGTGAATAAGTGAGATTTTTATCAAAGCGGGCAGTGGTCTGCATGGAGCTCCCCCAGAATCCTAGTCTTTATTTCCTACAACATGCTAAGACGACAAAATGCACCAGCTTCGGTAATGGCAAAAGCAGCTGCAGCCCATTTGCTGACAATAGCACCAGGTAACTTTGCAAGTGCGGTCAAGTTCCTTCCCTTCCCCTTGAGCTGATGTGCGTAAGTAAAGATTTTAGGATGTGTAAAACCCTGAGCTCTGACAGATTTCTCACCCCCCTCCCCAAGCAAATGGCTGTCTTGAGTATGCTGGGCTGTGCATTCCTCAGCCTCCCCTCCTGAGGGTCTCCCAGGTATCCCCAAAAGCCTGCTCCTGCTCTTGGCCCAGCTCTGTTCTCCATAAATCACCATCCACACCATCATTGTTGAGTCGCACAGGAATCAAGCCGGCGGATTTTTTGTAGGTGGGTGTCACTTGGTCTGGAAGGTGATGGACCAATAGTAGTTAGAGCCATTATAGATTTTCTAGAAGCTACAAAGAAGCAGAGACTTACTGTGGGCATCTCACCATTTCATGGTTCTGGCTGTTCTGCAGAACAGAGAGAGGTCATCTGAAATCAGACCTACCTAAGACTTCGGGGTTCACAGGAACATTTTGGAACTGAACTCAGCAATGTCGCTTCTGGGATACCAGAGCCTAGGCCAGGCTGGGACTCAGCAGTGACTCAGGGTCCCTGAGCAAGCTGCACTGGATGATGAAGCCGGTGTGGTCACAGCTGTGGCCCCTCAAGGCTTTGGGGCTTCAGCAAACTTAGTATCCCTGAGCCTTGTTTCTTCTTCTAGAAATAGACTCACATTTCTCATCTCACCAGGTTGTTGGGAGAACTGAGTGACACATTCTGTGTGAAGGGACTACCTAAACTATAAACAATTCTAAAAAGAAAAGGCATTTTCTAATGTGGATGTGAAAAATTCAGTTTTACAAACACAGGTATGGGTTTTAATCCCCATCATATTGTCAGTTTCTATTTCAAGCCCTATTTAGGATTGCCGGATGTAGAGGAAAAAAAATACAGGGCACCTAGGACATGACATCTATATTGTCGTATCTGGCAAACTTCAGTCCTCTCCCTGCAGGCCACCAGGAAATGTGTGGGAATCACTTGGGTTCGACTTTGAGTCTCAGCCTCAGTTCTAGGGACTTGGGCCTCATCAAGGTAAAGCAGCCACCAAGCAGGTGACCCCCTGCTGCCCCTTCTTTCATAGGACATCCTCAGGGCTAGCAGCTCTCCAGCCACCACTGGGAATCAGAGAGGGTTTTTTTTTTTTTTTTTTTTTTGCAAAATCACCTCTGGTTCTCTGTTTGCCTAGACAACACATCACAGGGCATTTTCTCTTGGGGGGTCTTGCTTAGGTAAGAATCAAGAGGTTAGTTCCCTTTTGCAGAGCACCCAGAATCCTAGTCTGAATTTCAGTCTCAGTCTCTCTTCTCCCTCCCGTTCCCCTTTTTTCCTCTCCCTCTATCTTCTTAACCACTGTCCCAGCCCAGAGATATTTCTGTGTGTACTGGAGAAAGCCTCCCTGTACCTTGCCTTTCTGTGGTTTGCTTTGCTCCTTCCCACAAAGTCTTGTCCCCTCTGGCCTCCCCCATACATTCTTGGGCTTCCACCAAATCTGGGCATCTTGTGTTCTTCCTCTCTTTTCTGCCCTGCCAGATATCATGCTGGAGGCAGTGAGACAAGGCTGGTTGGCTACTTGCTTCAGGAAAGGAGAAACTAATTGAAAGACAAATACAAATTAATAGTTCAAGATGTGTTCATTAAAGGGGTGTTCATTTAGCCTGTATTCAAGTAGACCCTATATGGTAGCATTTCTCCCCTGGTCTTTCTGCCCTCCATCTATAACCGTGAGAGGGATAGGCACATGCTTTACCATGCCTGCTATGTTAGCAGGAGTAAGTGCTCAAGGAATGCTCATTGGATGTTTCAGTACCTTACCTGGTGAGGAGTTGGGTTGGAGCCTCAGGCACTTGCAAGCTATCACTATCTGGATGCCGAGCGCCTTCCAGGAAAGCTGGCTGCTCTCAATGGCAACGCCAGAGCAAGTAGCACCCCCCTTCCTAGTGTACTGTGATGGGTCTGCCTGGAGATCTGGGTGGTGTCAGGGAGCCTGAAAGAGAAGAGTGACATGCAGAGGAGCTGGTGGCTGCAACACAATGCTTGCTTTTTGCAAGGAGGGAAGAAAGTGTTTGTAAACGGACTCCCCCATGTGACATTTGGCATCATTTCCAGCTAATGACATCTTTCTGAGAGAGCCGTGCAGAGCTTGTCTGCTGACTCAATCGACTTATGATCGCCCAGAGACTCAGCTGCATGGGATCTGGAAAGTGAATTAGCAAGTTGTGGGTCTCCAAAGGTGCAAGAGAGTATGAAGATGGAGAACGGATATTTGGGGAGGAAACCCACCTTCTAGTTTAGTGCCGTTCGAGGGCCTGTTGCACTTGCTCTTCTGCTCCAAGGTGATCTCCTTTTCCTCATTAATCTTTCCTGGTTTTCTCCTGAAAAGAGTGGTAGTTCTTGCTCATATTGAAGTGTTACCTTGGGTGCAGAAAGATCAAGCTGTCTTTGCACAAATCCCAGCTCCACCACTTGCCAGCTGTGTGATCTCACACAAGTCACTTCCTCTCTGAACCTGTTTCTTCATCGGTTCCATGCAGATAGTAACAGCACATAAATACATCACTGTGAAGTGGTTGTGATGGCTGCATGAGAAAACGTGCGCAAGTGTTTCCTGCAGTGCCTGGCTGTAATAAGAGCTTGGTGAATGTTTGCTGTGATTGCTTTTAGAATATTTATCTGTAATCAAAGGGAGGACAGACATGCTTCCAATTTGAACAGGGGGATAGAAAGCCATAGAGAGACCAAGTAGCTTGGCCAGACTTACAAGGGAAATCATCTCTGAGCTGGAGCCCTGCTTTCTCAATAAAGAGGTGGAGCTGGGTAGAACCATAGGCCTGGTCTCTGGCCCACTGGCCTGGGGACTCTATGAATTACTCTAAACCCTTCTAAATGCCCAGTTCTAGCCATTGTTATTGCTTCTCCTCCAAGCTTCTGTACGCCTTTGAACAGTCAAGGAAATCAGGTCCTGTACTCCACGTGCTCTTCCTTACAGTAGAACATTCTCTCACCCTCATGGCTCTATGGCTACAGGCTTTGTGTCCCCCAAAGGTGAGTCACCACAGGACTCATTTGTTTTGCTTCATAGGAGTCTGTGGGACCGAGCATTTTTTTTTAACCTTCATCCTTCCAGAGATAATTTCTTTCCATCTCTAAGAATAGATCTTATTTTTGCTTTCAAATCGAAGTCTTGCCTAGTGTGGGCTTTATCCAGGAGAAGGAGAACCATACAGAGCTGGGAATCTAGGCCCAGCATCATGGTAGAATGACTGCTGTCTACCTGGTGATACCAAAGGCAAGTTGCCAGTTCTTTGCAGACTGGGCTCCATGAGCTCACAACCAACCAGGCAGGCTGGCTGCTTGGCAAGGTGGCCACTGTTTGATGTCACCCAAGGCAACAGAAAAGGGAAATTCATGGGGAAGATCAAGATCCAAATTAATACCTGGGGATGATGTCATTGGCTCTGAGTAGTTCAGCAAAGGAAGTCATGGGGAACCCAAGATTTCTAAAGAAGAAGCGTGTCCATGCACGAGTGTGTGTAACATCACTGCATTGACAGGGGGCCCTCTTTAGCTCTGGTAAAGCATGGAAAGAGAAGCTTTCTGCTTGAGAGAGTTAAGATAGCTAAAATTGTAGCAGAGCAAGTCGATAAGAAAACACACACAGGTGGGGCACCCCAAAATCCATG